GTTGTGGCAGACACTTCGCTTCTTTCCTCATTTATTTTCTTATTCTTTTTTATTTTAATTTGAATATTTTATTTTTATTAAATATGAGCAATTGAGACAGAGTTTAAAAATCCTGGCTTTTTATGTCTTGGAAGTTTTCCTCCTTGCCTCTTTTGTCGTTTGCCCTAAATTATTAATTTTTATTTAAATTTAAAAGTTTTTTATTCATATTAAATATATTCCAGAGTTGGAGTATAGGGTGGAGGCGTTGCTTTTATGCTGACTACTGCTTTGTTTTGTACCTTCTTCTTAGTCACTCGGCTTCTTCTATTTGCCTTGTTTATTTTTTTATTTGTTTATATTTCCATTTAAATAATTTTTTATTTATATGTTCCTGAAATTGAGAAGGAGTTTCATCGGACCATCTTCTTAATTTGCTGCTTCAGTGTCTTCTTCATGCCTCATTTGTTTTCTTATTTGTTTCTATTAAATTTTAAATATTTTATTTTTATTAAATATGTTCCATTAATTGAGTTGGAGTTTCATCGGACCATATACAGAGTACTGATTTGTTTTGTACCTTCTCTTTTTTCAGGCATACCTCATTTTTTTCATTCATTCTTTTTCTTCCTCCTTTTTTTTTTTCTTCTTTTTCAACTTAATTTAAATATTTTATTCTTATTAAATATTTGAAGTTCGATTTGGAATTATTCGAGATATGGCGGACCGTATACCGAGGACTGCGTTGTTGTATAGCTTCATAATCCTGGCTTATGTGCATCTTTCCCTATTGAATTTATTATACGTTTTTTTATTTTTATTTAAAAGATTTTTATTTTTTTTTTTAAATATGTTTCAGTTAGAGTTTAATTATTTAACCAAATTTTTTGACAACCTATACTACTCTTTTATTTTATTTATTTTTTATTTATTTATTTTTCCCGCAGTTTTTTTATTTTGGTTGTTTAATGTCTCTTCCATTACCTTACATATGTTGCGTTAGTCTTTCTGATGAACTTTAAAAACCTCACCTATTTTTTGTGGTTCATGACACCATGACAGACGTCGAAGGAAAAATTGGATACCCCGTGGGCTATTTAAAAGCAGCGATGGAGGTGCTGCCATAGTGGTTCCTGTGTTAATGGAAAGGACGTGGATCTTTTGAGGTTTCTAGTGGCCTTAAAGCAAACACGGGGAATTCTTAAGCCGCCCCAGCAACGCTGGCAGTTAGCAGTTGGCTGCTGGGACGACTGACTTGGCCGTTTGTGTGTTAATTACTGCGGCATGTGCACCACTCGTGAATCATGACTTCCGACTTACCAGCCAGTCAACCAGCCAGCCAGGCTGTGAGTTCTCCGCTTTCTAATTATGTTGCAGTGGTGCAAGTCGGTGGCGGTGGTAGTGGTGGTGGTGGTGGTGGCAACAAAACAAACGGCAAGGAAACAATTCAACCGCAAACGCATTTAGTTCATGTTCAACACAGACGAGCGCCCCCGAGAATCCTGTAAATAGTTTACCGAAATCAGCAGGACCCCGCCTAGGAGCAGCCAGGATTGGGGGATAGTTGGAGAATGCACTGAAAAATCAATATCAAAATATAATATACCATCTATGAATTAATGTAATAAAGTCTAATACAAACTATAACCTATTTGTATAATTTTTGAGTTAAGCATATAATATTTCTCGCAGTCCATTTGGGTGGCACTTGGAAGTCAGTGCAGTGCACACGGCGACCTCATAATAAAGGCATCCAATCCCCCACTGATGTTGCGTGTGTATGGGGTATGTGTGCGCACTGGAATCTCTCAGCTGCCGCATGTGGCAAGTGCGGTAGACCGTCAATTTGTGCAAATGCTACCTAAGTCACTTCGCTCCGACCGAGAGCAAGACCAAGACCCAGCTACTACCGGGTTTATTTGCTCAACCAAATTTATCTTAATTCATTTGGATTAACGACAACTCTGAAGAATAGTGACCACGAAGTGCTGACGGTTGTGCCCCAGTTGGGAGATGAGTTATTCATTTGTTGCACGGCCAGGATATCCATCCATTATAGTAGATTTGGTCCCACTCACCCACATTGAAGTAAAAAGAACCAAGACGTTTAAAATGTTTATTATTATGCTAGTTTTATTTACCATTTTGTTTTTGTTTGCTTTCATTATGTTTTCAGTTTGGTTTCGGGCTTGCCGCTCCTGTCGTCTCGGCAGTTAAATGCAATACGATAACAATATGTTTGCTAAATATTAATAAATATATCAAAGATCCAGCTCCGGCTGCTCATTTCCATATATTTACTTTGGAATTATATTTTACAAATAAATTGAAATTTATACACATGGCACGAACACGAAAGTATGATGGGTGGTTGACAAAAAAAAAAAATAATGGGACTCACAATAGGTTTCTAGGCAACACCCGAGAACCCAATCAATTAAAATGAAAGTGTCATTGAATAAAAATACACATTTTTTTGTGTGAGTCGTATTCAGATTTGATTTTCAACTTACGGCTACGCATTTTAATATTAATTGTTTTTTGATCTTTTAAATATTGTAGTCATGTTGCCATTGGCAAAATTCGCTTGATTTGCCTCGGCTTTTTGTTGCGGTGTCAATTGAGTTCTTTTTTTTTAATTCGGTTTCGGGTCCGGATCCGTCTGTGGCTCTGGATTTTATTATCTGATTTGATTCAAAGTCCTTTCTAGCAACACATGCATATATATTGTATGTTCTGTTATATATATAAATACAATATTTGTTTAGACAGTTTACCATTTATATTCATAGGTATTTACTCTGCACTTTCGCATACATACATCTATCTCGGTAGTTTTATTTGAGTGTTCTTGTTTGCTATTGATATTAAATTTATTTATGCACTTTAGCGGCTTTGTTTGATTCGAGTTTTGATTTCGTCATACGTAGATTAAACAACTAAAATTGAGTTTAAATGCAATTCACCTGCAACAGTTGTTGTTTTAAGTCTCAAAAATGCATGGCCGATAAAACATTTACGCCCCCAAAACAAGCCGAAATATCCAATTCGAATGGTTTTCAAAATTAATTTTCTAATCAACTTTATGCACACACAGATCTGAGCTAACAACAATAAATTTATAAATATTTTACAATAGTTTTCTGTCCTCTTGTATTATTATGAAAGTTTAAGTGTCATGTTATATTTTGATAATCTTAGTACCATTTTTAATGTCTTTTGATATGACTTGATCATTTTTATGGTATTCATCCCGTTTTCATTTATTGTTTTATTTTCCTGAACTACTCCCCATTCCAACTCGAGTTATTTTGCAAGTTTTATGTACAATAATGAATGCAAAGTATACTAAGTATGCTAAAATTTAACTACAATTAGTATATATCCTTTGGTTTTTTTTACAATCATCAATTACACCTACGTCCTGTTCGGTCTGTTCAATTTCAATGCGGAAGTATGCGACTTTTGTTGTTTGATTTTAGCTTACAAGTCAAACATTAATGCTAGCCTAGCCTAATAGTTAGTAGCTACTCCTCGGGGGCCAATTAAAACTAGCTTCTAACTACGAAAATTTAATAAACATGCAAGGATTCTGTAAACCACATTCTTGACAAAAAGAGTGCTCAATCTGTGAGAAATTCTTTCCATTTTTCGCTGAATCTGAACTTAAATCAAAACAATTTCAATTAAAATAAATTTAATTAAAATTCAGCTTGTTGGCCACTCAATTCAGTTTTTTTTTTCAATTGTTTGTGCTGCATTGACGAGTTAAACTATTTTCTTTATTTAGCGCTAATTAATTTATTACAATATTTATGTTGGGCCCCCCGCTGACACCTTGGCCGCATCCACTTTTGTATTCATTCGGCTTTTTTTGCCAGTGTTTTCTGTAATTTAATTATAAACAAATATGCGACAACAAATCCCGCACTGATAATTGAGGAGCATAAAAAAGAGTATATATATGTATGTATATAAACAGAAATCCAACTATGAACACTTATCCCATGTTTTCTATTTGCTTTTCACAATTTTTCTTTTAGCTATTGAGTTGCGGCGTATTTGTTGTTTATTAAAAATATTAATCAGTCATTTGAATGCAATGAATTGCAGTGTTAATATATGTTTATATACGTATGCATATTTGCAAGCCGACACTTGTTTGTGTTTATGGTTATTTCGTGTTTTATTTTTTGTTTCACTTGCCTCCTCTGTGCATCATTTATGGATGTCCTTCTGCCGCACCGCCGCTCTGCTCATATTATTTGATCTGATCCTCGGCTCAGCTCAGCTGACTGTTAACAGTAATGCAATAATTTATCCCACTCATTTGCATTGCATTGCTGACAGGCTAAAAAATTTGCCAACTGATTGCGCAGTGCAATTATTTGAATGTGGCCGCATAAATAAAGCTGCATACTTTGTTGCACTGTTCTGTGGCAAGATTTATTGTTGAATTTTCACCCACTTATTGCGTTTTAATATCCATAAATGCACCATTCAATTGTGGGTAAGTAATTTTAGCCAGGCAATTTCGTTTTCACTCGAGAAATACCGGAATTAATTTTTAAATAAAAAATATTTCACTTTATAAGACAATTGCCTTAAATCCTTGACATATCCCTCAAAGTATGCAACAATTTTGCAGCTCAAAAAAAATGTATGATTGCGATGATTGGATGTCATGTTTGTTTTTCTGGCTGTTGTTGGCTTGGCACTTACAACTATGTCCTTATTGCTATGTCCTTATGCAGCACTTCCGGCTGCTTACTTGCCATATGGGTGCTGGTTGATGTCCGGGGAATGGCGCATCAACGTGGCACTCCCGCTTCCGGGCGAGAGTGTGAGGCTGCCCTCGTGGCTGCCGTTCATGCTGCCCGAGCAGGTGGCCGGAACGGATACGGTAACGGTTCCGCTACCGCCTCCGCCGCCCATCATCTTCTCCGTCTCCTGGCGGCTATTGGCCATTATCCGGCGGATCGTGGGGGCGCAGGGTGTGCGTCATAGGCGCGACTCCTGCGCGAGTTCATGTCAGACCTGGCCGTGGGCGTTCATGTGCAGGGCGTCCCCGGCATCAGGGGGCGTGGCCGAGAGCTGGGCGGGCGGATAATACTGCAACGAGGCGCAATTCAGATACTGTGCGTGGATTAGTATTAATGTCTGGGAGTGCGTTAAAAATAGTTTGTGTTTTTATTGGAAAAAAGAAATTAATTAGAGGGAGAAAATGTATCCCATTTCTACTCATGAAAAAAGTACATTTTTTTTCCAACTTGATACAATTAAAATAACATTAATCAATTCAATCAAAACGCTAGTAGGATTTACCGTCAAATTAATTGAATATAAATTTTTTTCTTCGTTAAGTTGTTTAATAAATTTAAACGATAACCATTCTATTGAATATTTAATATGGTAATAATTTTATTTCTTAATAAAATTAAATAACCAGGGCTTTAAAAAAATGTGTAGTCTTTTTTAAACCTTATTAAGAATTTCCTTTTTTTTATCAAAATTTTCTCTCATTGAAACTCACCCCAACACGTCCGTTGTCGTAGTCGCGGCTCGCTTGGATGGTCAATTTCGCCTTGGCGTGCATGGTGTCCGTCAGGGTGCTCCTTTGATGTGTGGACGGCATCACGCCGGGCACAGCGCTGGAGGGGCCCAGCATCATGGAGCCATTGGCCTTGCCCAGGCTACCGTGTCCCCCCGATCCGCCCAGTCCCATGCCCATGCCCATACCCATACCCATGGCGGAACCGTTCGCCGCCGAACGGGAATCCTTGCTGCGGAAACAGAACTCGAGGATGGCCACGAAAACGCTGACCAGCAGCCCGCCAATCAGGATGTAGAATATGCCGGCCACGTTGCTCAGCGACAGCTCGTTGTGGGAGGCCTGGCCGTCCTTGTGGGTGCTACACTCCGTTTTTTCGTACCACCATTTGTTGCGCAACTTGATCAGCTCGCCGTTCTCCTTTAGCTTCAGCACCGCCAGATTGATGGGGTCCCTGTTGACCGAAATGGTAAGCAAAATGGGTAAGAATGGGGCCAAGAACTGGTTCCTTTGTTAGGCATGTGGGTAGGTTTTCATTTTTGTTTTTCAACTCCTCAGTGTTCTTTTCTCTTGCAGCACAAAGGCAGTAATTTTGGGCTTCCTAAAAGGGGCTGCCTTTACACTGACCAAAAATCAATCAGTCTGACTTGATTGTTTTTCTTATTATTTATTTCAATATTTATGTTCTTTAAGTTTTTTAAAATTAGACTCTTTCTGTGTCAATTTATTTATTTGAAATTGACATTTTATGATCATATTTTACGGTCACTGTGTACTCACTTGAGGGCCGAGCCGAGCGGCGTGGCAATGCCAAATCCCTTTGTATCCATATTCCGGCCCACTTTCATCGTGTCGCAGGGCTCGCGGGCGTTCACATATTCGTTCTTGGGGGACTCCACCAGGAGGGCGTACTTCCCCTTGGAGGTGCGCACGCGCTTGATCCCCTCCTCGTAGCTTTTCACAAAGACGTGCTTGCGCGAGTTCATGTACTCCCACATCTTGATGTGGAGTCCGTTTTGGGAGCGCTGCGGGCGAAAAGGCACAAAAAGCGAACCGACCAAAAATATAAAGTAAGGATTTTTTGGGGAGTGGGTCAGTATGAAAGCGAATATCTCTGTGTTGTGTGTGTGTGTGTGCCAGCATATAACGTATACGCCATGGCATCCCAAGACAATCGACGGCAGGCGAATAGGGACTTCAATTCATCCGGACATCCATCAGCATAATGCTCGAATCGTGGCACTGCTCGCCTACCATCGCCTGTGAATGTATATATATAATATATATACCGAAATATCTGCTCACATGGTGAGGCAGCAGAGCGTAAGTGTGCTTAAAAGCATCTCAAATAAATGTAGCCATAAAAAATAGAATTGCGTCTCATTTCTTTTGCATTTTTGGAACGATTGACGGACGAAACGGAGTGAGGGGGCGGAAGCAAAATTGCTTTTTATTCCTCGTCTAAAGCAAATTAATCCCTGGCCCGGCAACTGCTGTCTCCTCTCAATTTTGACGTCTCAAAAGGCTCAGCTAGCAAATTCTAATGGTTTTCCAGCTCTTGACTGTTGGCTTTTATTGTCTTTGATTTGCCCATTGTGTGGTTGTCAAATGAGTGTGACATGAGTACCCGAAATTAATTTGGCTGCCAGGCAATCGAGAGGCTCCCCCAGGCCGCCCATAGCTCCCTTAAGGGGCTGTCTAATGGAAAGGTACATGATGTACACGGGAAAAATTTAGGCAAGGACTTATGGAAGTCCTTAATGGTCCTACAGAAAAGTTTCTTGTGGATAATCAATCCACCAATCCTTTATGATATTTCGCTCAACAATTTGATGATTTTTTGCAAACATATAGCCTTAGCTGAAGTTTATATATGAACCCTCTTCATATGTATGTCTTCTTTTTGTGTTGCTCAGTGTGGATGTACTTACCCGGAAAAAGTCCCAGGTCGAGCCGTGCAACAGGGTGCCGTATTGAACCTCCGTCTGCATTGCCAGGTCCTCCGGCGAATTAATGGGCGTCACCATCCTTTCCACCGTGAGGAACGCAGCCAGGTTGGCTGTGTACGACGAGATGAGTATGAGGGTGAAGAAGAACCAGGAGGCAGCGGCAATCCGCCCGGAGACGGATCTCGGCGACAGATCGCATCCCTGCTGCATGAAGGCGGCCAGTGAAAACCAGAAAGAGTTCCACACACTGAACTCATTGACTGCCGTCGAGGATGAGCCGCCGGATCCGGGACTTCCGGCCGAGAGGGCGGCCTGCAGGGCAGCAGCGCCGGCCGCCGATTGGGCGCCGGGAGTGGGAGGTCCGGGTGGAGCCGGTACGGGTGCACCACCAATGATGCCGGGCGGCTGCTGATTGGCAAGCTGTTCGTGATGTGCATGCGGATCTGAAAGAGTCGATGGAGACCATAAAAGGCATGTCCTGTGAGTCGACCACAAAATGAAACCGCAGACGACAAACCCAGATGTCGTGGGAAGGAAGAAAATCAAAAGCACTTATAAAATATATACACTTGGTTTTAAAAATTATTTGATATTTATATTTTAAGATTGTAACCTAGGATAGTTGATAATATTATATTTTGTAATATTCAAAGTCAAACTAAATGAAGAATATTTAAATTTCCAAAGCTATCTATTAAACTTTTTAACAAACTCTCTTCTCTAATACTTTTCAAGTAAACCTTTCAAAGTCTCTTATCCTGGATCTCCCCTCCCATTTCGGTCAGTGTCAAAGGGCAAGGATAAGGGAGTGAGCTCTCAGTACGTGCCCATGTCGACTGTCCAAGTTTCAATCATTTCGTTTGGCTCGGCTTTTTGCGCCTGCTCTAATTGATATGCAATCAAACCCATAGCCAGTGAGTTCCTATTCCCCCATTTGCTTCAATTGCAAAGCCATTGAATGCCAGGAGGAGATGTGATGACATTGCTGCTCCAGCTACTGCTTCTGGTTCAGCTCATGCTTTTGCTTCTGCTGCTGATGTGGATGCTGATTTTGCTGGATGCATGGCAGCATGTCCTTTCATTCCATTTTCCCTGCACTCTCTTGGCCTGGCCAGGTCTTATTTTGCACTTGGCTTTGTCCCCTCCTCCATGTTTCGTGTCCCTTGTCCTTTGTCCTTTGGCCCCTACCGCCATAGCATTGACTCTGTTTGTCTATCATTCGTTTTTACACTGTGTGCCAACGCTGGCTGCATACAAAATGTTGTTTACTTTCCGCTAAAATTACATTAAGGATGTTTTGCAGGATGTCAATAGATTGTTATGAACAGCTATGGTACTCCACTTCATGCGACTGCTGCCTCTGTCTGTCAATCGGGTCCCCGGGCCCCCTCTCGATCTCGTCTTTCCTCTAACTGGCAGTTCATATACATATGTCGACTCTCAACAAAAACAGCAGCGACTGAAAATTGAATCGAAATAATTGAATTTTCATGAAATCAAATGAAATTCGAATTCAAAATAAAGCCCAAAGTTGTAGCAGATGCATACAATTACGAGATTTTGGAGATTTCCATTTTGGTTAAGGCAGGAATCACAGCAGGATATGGAGTTCGATTACACTTCTGGCCATAATTGGACAATAACTCAATGATTTCTAATTTATTTATATATTTTAAATAAATAGTTTTCAGATTAATTTGTGGTTTTACTTTTGGAATTGTTTTTAAATCAATTCTATCCTAAAAATCCTTTAAATAGTCCCAGAAATGATTCTTTTATTTCTTTTAATCGCAGGACACTCGGTAATTAGATGTTTTTCAAGTGGATGCTAATTTTTGAGCTTGTTTTCTTAAGCGTGTTCCCTCCTTTGTCTCTGCTCCAGTGCGAAACACAATTTAATTCAATATTTAAATACCCGGCGAGGAGGACGGAGAACAGGTAACAGGTGTGCTGCGGATGGTATAAGCATGGGTACACTCACCTGGCGACTGTGATTGCTGCGGCGGCTGCTGCACGAGGCGCCATTCATGTGGCGAGAAGCGCGACACAAAGAACAGCACGATGCTCACGCCAATGTAGCTGAAGATGACGCTCACCTGTTGTTGTTGGCCCCGAGCGGCAGGTGAGAAGGTGACGACGGTGACGGTGATGGTGGCCAAAAAGAGAGAGAAGAAAAGTGGGGGTAGTGGGGTGGTATGAGTAAACATGAGACGCTCGTGACGATGAACATGAATGGCTGGCGGTTTGGCTCCTGGCTGCCACCTGAACACCTGTGCAAGCACCTGGGCTTTTCCTGGCTGCCACTGCCACGGCTCCTGCACCAGCTCCTGCTACTGCTACTGCTACTGCTTCTGCTTTTTTCATTAAATTTTCTTAACTAATTGAAGCGGAAGCGGCCGGGGCTTCGTAGAAAATAGCGAAACATTAACCTAATGGCGCCGGGACATGGCGGGCAGGTCGAGGGGCGAGACAATGGCAGCCAAGGACATCGACAGGAAGTCTGCCGTCAGCTGTCTGGCAACAGTTGCCACTGTTTTTATTGCTTCAAGGAACAGGACAAAAAACAACATGTAAAAATTTGAATATTTAACAGAGTTCGTCCTTTTTTTTAAATCTAAAGGTCCTTCGAAACTTTTCCCAGTGTACAACACACAAGAAGGAAGTCTTTTCCACTTCCCTTTGAATTTGAAAGTAATTTTCTTTTGTTCAGTGTATGAAGAGTGTGTGTGTGTGCAAGGAGGTGTGAGTGGCCGGAGCTGTCAGCACCTGAATGGCTGCCATGGAGAGCGCCTTTGTACCAAAAAGGAAAGGTGTGTCCTTGTCGTTTGTCGCCGCTGCTTTCATATGCCTGAATGGCTTCACCACACATACTCGCACCCACACACTGGCTCTTCTAAGAAGGATTTCCCGCTTTGTTGCTGTTGCTTTTGAGCTCTCCCTGTAATGTGTGTGTGTGTGTGTGCAGCTAAAATGCTTCATTTAATTTATGATAAATTTTTTGTAAAAGACTTTTTTATTAGCTTGTTAACTTTGCGCCTTGGCTTTTGCTTTTGGCCTTGCCTCTTACACTTTCGGTTGTACCCTTGGACCCACGGCGAACTCCAACCCCTGGAAACTAATTTGCATTTGTAATTTTTTAGCTCATGTCAAATTACGCATTAGCTTTCACTTTGGCGCGCTGCTCGCCGACTTTTATTAGCATTTAATTTTGCTTTTGTCGCTGCTGTCAACACTCTTTGACTTTTCCAGATTCGGATGCTCAGCGACTCGTGCTCGCCGTCGACTGACTGTGCCCCTTTTTTTCATTTTTATGAATTTTTTATTGTGCGTAAATTTTACAGTCACTGTCGTCATAATTTTTCGCATTTACAGCGCATTAGTAGCGGGACGCGAGGGTGCCCATCTAATTTGTTTAATTGTCTACCCCAAGAGCCCCAACTACCCGACATGGCAGAAGGATAAAGGATACCCAGGCGCCTGGTCGGAGGACCCATGCAACATAAACATCAACTAAACGCTCATACAAATTTGATGGGCTGCCATTATTTAAACAAGCCTCGAGCTGCAAACTTCGGACTTGCCACCAGCCAGCCATCTAGCCAGCCAGCTACTTGCCACTAGCGTGAAATTTAAAGCTCGACGGCCACGTAATTTTTCGGCCATGTCCTGGACAGGCACTCCACATCGCCGCTGTTTATGCGCGCAATGTACTAAAATAAAGTAAAAGAAAAAGGCAAACAGTGGCAAACACAGAGGCTGGCAGGCACAAGCACAAAAAACTTTGTCGTTTACTCTATTAAACTTTGGGAGCTTACGTGGTGCCAAGTTGAAGCCGAAACCAGAAGAAATAAATATACAAGTCGAAACTTTGCCGCAAACTTTCCCGGAGCGGACTAGCATTCGCCTCGAAGGCGAAGTAGTTCGAGCCAAAAAAAAACAAAAAATAAAACAGCTTCTCTGGAAATAATAAAAAATAGGGAAAAGCGAAAAATTTGGCGAGCGTTAAAATTACCAAGCAAGCGGAGGCGAAATGAAGAAATTGTTTAAAAACTTTACTCATTTGTATGCAGCGCGATTTTTGCAACATTTTGACTCGTTACCAAACTGAAAATAAACACATTGCTTTCTGTGTGTTTGGTCGTCAAAGGCTACCATAGGACGGGAAATAATTAGAAATTTTGGGAAGCAATGCCAACTGGCAATGTACATATGCGAGTCTAGGACTCAATAGTCGCACAAGAATCTTGATTAAAATGCTGCCAGCTCTTGGAGGGCGCTAGGGTCCTTGGAGTTGCCAAGCTGCACCGCTTCGGTGAGCGCCAATAAGGTAAAGTGCAGGAGCCAAAAAGGACATGGGGTCCGGGATAAAGGGGCATGGGGCAAACTACCAACATATACGCACCCAAATTTCCTGCGATAAAGGATTCATGAAGCTGAACACGCCGGGCGTCTGCTTCACTGGCTTCTTAATCATGATGGAGATGCCCAGCGACATGAACGGCTTGCTAAAGTCGATGACACGTTCGCGTTCGGCGGTAATCGTCAGGGGGGAAATCGCAATATCCGCTTCCTGCAGGCGAAGGACGAAGGAGTTCAGAGTCAGTTTTGGGGAATCGAGGCATCCTGCCAGAGGACTCACCTTGCGCACCAGCTCCCCCACCATGCCGTCCCAACCGCCGTGTTCGGTGGACTTCTCCGATCCGTAATTGCCATCCTTGACCGGGCGCAGTTCATCTGAAATTGAAATACACACAGAGAAAATAAAGTCAGAGATATAGATATATTTATAATAATGAATTTAAATTATTTTTAAACTGATAAAGCATAAAATACCAAAAGAAATCTAAGAAAACTTTAACTTAGCCCCAAAATTTTAAGAAATGTTTTTTCAAGTGCCTCGAACTATAAATTTTGAAGCAGGGACAAATACGCCCGATTAAGCAACGCTTCCCTACCCATTTCGAAATTACACTTACAGTTAATGCCAAGCTCCTTGGCCAGGAGATCTGCCAGATCCTTGCAGTATCCCTCGAAGCGTTCGTTGCCATGCAGCTTCTCACCGAAAACCGCCTTCTTCAGCATGATGTAGGGCTCTTCCAAAACGGTGGTCACTATGTAGGTGCGGTTCTTCTCGAACTCCACATGCGGACGCAGACGAACGTATTTGGCATTCAGGGGCTGCAGTCCGGCATCGTCATTCCACTCGGCCACCTTGACCTGTGAGATACGTGGGTTTTTCAGGATGTCAGAAAAGAAAATTCCCAAAAGATTATAAATTACTGAGGCGGTCGGGCCATAAATAATGCAGCCATCGACACTTGATTCCCCAAGGTGGACTCGGGCTAAATCGATATTTGCCTAACTCTGAATTGGTTTTCAAGTTCACACTTTGAGTTATCTATCTAAGATGATTATTAAGTATTATTAGCTCTTTTCTTGAAAGAAATTTTTAAGATTATTCGCCATGAAGCTTAAAGCCAATTTGAAAAGTCTTTAAAATTCTTAAGCAAACTCGAGAACATGAACCTTTGAAAACTCTCCAAAAAGATGGTGGGAGTTGCATTGTAAAGCTTCAGTGCGGCTTTAACTTTTTCCCGGGTGGCTTCACCTGGTCCGGACCATTAGACAAACACCCACATACATACATACAGGTCGATGTAGACACATACCATGGCGCTGTTTACTGTCATCTCGACAACGTGCAGCGTGTAATTGACGCGTCTGCCGTCATCGTTGAATTTGATGTCCCCGGTTAGGCCCTCGATTTCCACCTGCGGAGCAAAAGGGAGATATAGAGTGGAGATTGGACGATAAAACAGGCACATTGTGTGGGTGAATGGGTGGCTGGCTGGATGGGTGGATAGGTAGATGGGTGGGTGGGTGTTTAATTGCTTTGTCAGTTTGCCCCGACTGGCAGCTATATCGATGTCGATGCTGTGTCCGCGTCATCATCGGGAACATGACTACCGCCACGGCGCGGCTCTAGTTCTAGTCCAGACCTCACCTTTCTCAAATAGCGCGATATTTTATCGCCGTGCTCCCAGGCATTCACCCAGCCCTTGGCCGTATTGCAGTCTAGAGCCCGGGAGGCGCCACCGGATCCGCCGGAATCACCGCCGGCATAGCTGCCACCGCCACTCGTGGAAGTACCGCCGTTTCCGCCGCTGGCATTGTAGTTGTAGCCGTCCATGGACGTGGAGGCAGCTGCCTGGGCAACCATCAAATTTTGGCTGCGGCGTTGTACATTGTTCCGAAACTGGTCCGGCTTCTTGCGCAGGATTTTATTGAAGGCCTCCACCAGGACGAAGACCGCATCGTACATGAGCGCCGCCTGTGCCTGAAAAACGAGGTTACAAAAGGGAATTATTGGGAGTCTTCATTCTCTGTAGGATTAACCCCCAATCGCGATGACTAATCAGTAATGTGTAAATAACTATCACACATTTCCTCAAGCTTGTGGCCTCCCAGAGCCAGCCGGGATTTAATGAGTGCATTACACGCTGTTATTCACAATTTTCTCAGCCATTGCCCCCCGGGGGTTGGTTGTCTTTGGCCTTATTTATGAGGCCCTTTCAGGACAGGTGTGGCCGGGCGGATGAGGGGCTAAGCTAGCCGAAAACCCAGCGGGGATTCGGCCACAAAACGTGTCGCACATTAAACCGCACAAAGGAGTGGGTACAAAAAAAAGGAAACTTTGATTTAATATTTAAGAGTTAAGCTGAGCGAGTTACTAAACTGGCCTACTGGCAGTTGGGTAAACAGAATGCCGCACAGAGACTTTAATGTGAATTTCCTCTTGCTCCGACCTGAGTCCTTTTGCAGTCCTGTAACACTCCCACACTTACACACAAGCCAAATAAACAAACAAACGCTGCCAAAGAGAGCAATGGCAGCGCTCCAGAAGCCGGACCGGAACGGACCAAATACGGACGGAATGAGACCGGACCGGAGAGGACTGTCGTCCTGCTGTTGAATTCAACTAACATTTAAGCGCCACAAAGTGAAATCTTTGTCAACAAGGATAATGCCAAGGAAATACAAATATAAACAGCCAGCAAGCGCAAACTAAACCAACTTGCGTTTTCGCATAGCTGTCTAGTTTACACGGTTAGAAAAATAATTTTAAAAAATAAATCAACTAATTTAGTAGAATTTTAATCTTTTTTTAAATATATATTAGCTTTTTTGAATCAAATATTTTATTTACATTATCTTAACTCGCCTCTATAAACTCTAGTTGATTATTTCCAATTACTCATCTAACATAACTATCCTATCTTTTAACAAAACTGGGCTTGTCAGGTCCTTTAAAACTATTTATTTTTGTCCAAAGTGTAAATGTCCATGTCGCAGCCACAATGACAAGGACAACGAGGAACGGAGCAGCAGCGACAAGGACACATGTGCCTTTGACTGCAAGTTGTGCGATAGCCATCCGTCTCCTGGCCGCTGGCTAAAAGTGAAATCTGAAATCTGTCGCTGGGACGAATCCTTGGACGAGTCCGTATACGAGTATTTGACTACACACAACACAAACACAAATACAAACACAAACACTGGGGCAAACAGAGCGCAAAGCAGCGACAAAGCGCCGCAAACTATACTATACTCTAGTCTTTTGCAGTGTCCTGTCTCCTTTTCAATGTCCCCCGCCCCGTGTCCTATGTCTCATGCCCAATGTCCTGCGTTCTATGTCCTGTTCACTGTGCTATGTGCCGTGCTCTGTCCCCCGGTAAACATTAAATCCTTGCAAATATTTAACTGCCAAACTAGTGGCACAACTAGTGTGTGTTGGCCTCGTTTTGGGATTCCGGCATTCGCATTCCGACGCATAGAGAATGGCCTCTTACCGAGATCGATTCACGACCAGCTCCCACGCTCATCTGGGGATCCAGTCGCTTCCAGCTGTCGTAGAACTCGCGCACCAGCCGCCGGTTGGTGTCCACGATGCGAAAGCCCGTGATGTTAATGGCCCCGAATTCGATTATTTCGCTTTCCCAGCGATCGTCCATGACCTGCAATGGCGGACAATACGGAAGGCTTTTACAATGATGGGGTACAGACTCTCTGCGGAACAGAGGAGTCCCAGGGCCAGGTGCTGCTTAGATTTGGTATTTGGTGGCAGGTGGAGGTTGTGGTGGAATAGCAACACTTACCAGACCGCTCAGCAAATAGTGATAGGTGCGCCGGCCCAGGCGCAAATCGCGAACATGCTGGATTAGTATTTGCTTGGCCATTTCCGTGGGGCAGTCCAGGACGATGTGCTTGTTATCGTAGCGGCCGATTTGCTCCAGAGTGTGCAGGAACTCGATGGCCATGCTGACGTTGGAGATGCGCTTGACCAGCTCCACTTGGAAGGACTCGTTGCCGGGCTTCAGGCCCTGGTAGATTTGCTGCAGGCGTAGCAGACCTGCGGAATAGTAAGTGTGATCCTGTTAATTAACTGGCCTTTGGGTAAATTTACACACCCCCCTCCCACACACACACAGTTGCCATATGGCCACACATACATATGCATTAGCAGGGGCACACAAATTACAACCATCAACAGTTTTGCGAGTCGTTAGCCACTGGAAGGGAATAATCCCCATTGCCCTTGGGCCTCTCACCCCCTTCTAGCGCCAATTCCGGGTCCCAATCCCTTATCAACAAGACGAGCATTTGCAACTCTTCCCTCCATCTCCCCACACACATATACAGAGAGTATCCTGGGAGGGTGAAATCGAGACAAGGGGTTACGCCCGTACACCCGACCAAAAATCGAAATCACAGCGTTATTCACGCCAAAATCTGCTTATTCGCAAAGCCCATTTGAAGTGAATTGAATTATTTTCGGAAATAAGCGCCTTATATTATGGAAATCGCTGCTAATCAGCTGAAGCCATTATCTGGTTGAATCTTGAATTTCCATAGAACTTTGAAAACACCTTTGGAAAGAGTTCAAGACATTTAAGGATTACTTTTTGCTTCAGTCCTTATAATTCCTTTTGGAGAACGCTTTTGTTTTTTGTGTCGCCTGACACTTGGGCATTTGCTTTGTTTAAAAATAGGCCACTCACGCCCATTGGCCACCCCCTATCTAACCTACCTAACCATACCGACCCCTAACACAAACAAAAGCCAAAGGAGCAAAATCAGTTTCAATTTGAAATTTACCGAAAACGGATACAAGGATGCGTGCCTGCCACTGCATATCTGGCAGATACCAAGATACACAAACGGGGTGCGAGAAACCAGGCCAAATGCAGAAGGCAGTATGTTGGCAATGCCAGCGCCTGGCCCGGGGCAAGGCCAAGTTTTGGACCACTTGGCAGGGCCATCGTCGTTATCCTTTATCCCCGGCCTACAGCTGTCCTGCTGTTGTGATATGCGGCCGAGATTCCGATCCCATTCCTCGGCTGTCGTAATTTGCATTTGTGCTTATTGAGTTATGGCTGCAACTAACTGCCGCCTCCCCCATGCAGCTTTCATTTGCACTTAAGCCGAGCCCGGCTCCTCCGGCTATCAGTCTTCCTTCTGCGTAACCCACTCCCCTCGGACTCTGGCCGTTGATCCTTGTCTCGAAGGACTTGCCTCAGTCAGAACTTTGCGAGTCAGAACTCAACGATTCAATGCGCCAGGGACAAAATGGTAGTAGAGTGAGATGTGGCAAAGGATAAGGGATACGTACACAGGATCCACCGACCAAGCCACCGAACGACCGAGCGACAGGACGACAGACAGACAGATGATTTGTATTACAGCTACGCAGCAAACAAAGAAAGGCCAAAGGAAAACTGAGGAAAAGGAACCGAGGCGAGCCAAAGGAAAAGATGGAAAAGCGAACTCGAATGGCAGGAAAAATCTCAACTGGATGTCGCATGAGACATGGCGGTGCAACTCCAATGCGCCTTCAATTTATGTTTGCGGATAAAATGGGATTTGCTTTTTGCTTCTGGCTTCTGCTGGATTTTGATTTAGACATTCTTCTTCTTGTTTTTGCTCCTTTTTTTGTGTCGGTGTATTTGTATTTGTATTTGTACTTGTATTTGGTTGTGTTGGTGGGGCCACGCCTACAGCTACGCACGGCCAGATCGTTCTCAATACATTTCCAATTTGTTGTTGCTTTGATTTTCACTATGTCGGGTTGGGATTCTTATGTAGTTCGAATATAGGGTATTACAGGGTAGATGGGTTGCAGATAAAAGATTAGGGAGATTAGAGAGATTAGGACATTTAAGATTTTATATCTTTTATAAAATATGACAAGGATTTAATAAGGATTTGAGTTACTTTTGTTTGTTAAGTTTTAGGTTTTGATCCAAATAAAAATATTTAGATGTCTGGGTTTAACTAAAAGTTCTCTCAACTTTATTTTTCTATTCCTTTTCTATTTATATTATTAACAAATATTAGTATTTTTAGTTTTAAAATTCCATTTTATTTTGTAAAGAATTTGAAACAAAATCTAGTCAATAAAAAAATTGAAATAGCCGATTTTCTCTTTGATTTTCAATTCTTAAACAAATGGAATATTTCTTTGTTTTGGGTATCAAATTGCCTTGCATAATACAGGACTTTCTTTTTTCTCTCTTTCTGTCTGTGTGTGCGTGCAAGTGTGTGTGTGAGTGTGAATGCGTGTATGTGTGGATGAGTGAGCGGCCATTTTTTTCTGCGCTCTGCTCTGCTCTGCTCGTTGTGCAATAAATTTTCTGCCTTGCCTTTTATACAATTTCATTTGCTGGCACTTCCTTTACCCATCCCCCGGCTCCTGATCCTGCCCCCACCCATGCTCCTGCCCCTGCCATACCCCTCGTTTTGCCATTTCCACTTCTATTCGCTTGGCTTGCGTTTGGATTTGATTTTTGCGTTTTTTTCGGCTTCTTTTTTTCGATTTGAGATTTGCCGCTTGGATTTGGTGTGTGCCTGAGTGTGTGTGTGTGTGTATCTATGTGTATGAATCGGAAAATCGAAAGTGTAATTGAAGAGCATGCTGTTGCGGACGAGGATTTTGTTTTATTTCATTTTTGATATCCAAACATGTTTGTGGCTCACCCCGTATATAATTCGAGTTTCCCATCTCCACCCACTCCCCATTACCTCCGAACACTCCACCCCCTCCCCCCGGTTCCGACTTTATGGCCTGAAATTGGGGTCTCTCCCCCGGATTCCCAAAATCCGAATCGCAATCCGCATCCGCACACTCGTATCTCATGCGAGTGAGTGCGGTTGTGTATTTCCGTTGATTTTTATTGTTTTTACTTTTTTTTCCCCCTTGATCTGCGGCCGGAGCTCTTTCATTTTCGTTTATGTAACGAATTTAATTTACAATTATATTTATTTTTTGGCCACTGCCCTTCTGGGCCAAATTCAATTTGTTGTTAGCCAGAACTCAATCTCGAAATACCAATTGGAATTGTATTTGAAGGCCAGAAGACAAAGATTACACAGTCATGTAGAGTCCTATCTGGCTATTATCTGTCCTATGACTTTATGCAAATCTGTCAGCCACAATAGCCACGCCTCTTGCCACCTGCCTTCTGCCACCCACCACACCACACTTTTCCCTTTAATGCAAAAAGCAAACAAGACAATTTGTTATGTTAAACAAAAGTTAGTTTTGCGGAAATGAAGTTTTCCTGCCACCAGCACCCCTAAACAGATGCAAAGATACACAGATACTCCCGGCTAGAGATATAGTAATAGATACGGATTGTGGACATCGCACACGGCGGCGGACAAGTAAGACATATCCCTACGTATATTTTATGGAGAAAGTTGACTGACAGAGGCGTTGTGGCCGAATGGCAGATAAACAAAACCTAATTATTATGGAGAAAGTTTCCCAGAATAGCTATGTATGTATATGTATTTCCTGATGCCAGCCACTTTTCATTTCCTCGTTGAGCCTGCTCCGATTGAATATAAATCCAAATATTTCATAATTTATGCATTAACTGGATTCAACTTGACGTACTGGCCCTAATTAGGATACACAGGACTTTAAGTGCCACGCCCCAATTTAGCAGCTTGTAACGCTTTTTTACATCCTTGGACAGGCCGTGTTCTGGCTGTTGTGCTATCAAAAACTTTTGCCGGTTTAATTACTTACAAACTGCGTCGTCGACGGCCTTCTGGATGCCTCCTGCCTTGCTAGATGGTAGCTGGTTACTGGTGGTAGCTTGGTTTACTGGGGAAAATTATGCTGACAAGCTCAAAGGCTTTGCGCATATGTTTTCAATGGCCTCGAATGGAGAGAAACGGGAGGCGGGATGCCGACTGGCATTAAAAGTATCAAATAACATGAAAGTGAAAGCGCAGTAAACCCCATAATGGTTAAATTAATGGCAGTCAGCCGTAACAGTCACAAAACAGTAGAGCGTGAAGAGGCCAGAGACCAGAGTCCTGGCCAAGGACTTCTACCCAGTTGTCTTGTCTTAACGCAATTTGCGCTGCCATTTGACGCAGTTTATGCAAATTCCTTTGCCATTTAAATTATGTAGCATTTCTCTCTCTAGCCGTGAACAATCAGCGCTCGCTTATTATTCATGATGCTCACTCTATCCGAGATTCGTTTCAGATTTTTATATCCACACAAAGCACTCATATCGAACGTTGAATCGCTATTGGAGATACATATTTGATGGCCTGCGATGGGTTTCGGAATCGGGCCAAAAGACAATCAAGTCTTTCATTTATAAGCAAAACCATTTGCATAATTCCACAGTTAGGGCTCCTTCGGGTCGCATTGATTAGTCGGGAGGTTCATCTTTAATACCTGAAGACATGTCTTTAATAAACAATATTGGGGAGGCTGGCAGTTTTGGTCACTCGACCGAAATGCTGACGTATTCATTGCAGCATGACCCAGCATATTTTCACACGTCCTTAACCCGGCGACGAATCTCACGCACCGTCCTGTATCTTGTATCTGGTGTCTGGTATCTGTATCTGTGTATCTTTGTTCCTGTATCTGTGTGTTCTGTGTGGCATGTTTATTCCTTTTTTCTCACTCGGTCCTGAGTAATAAATTTCATTTCACGGCAAGTCAATGTGCTGTTAACACGGCAAGGCTACCGACCACGCCTACACCGACACCACGGTGTCTTTCTCTTCTTTATAACCAGATTCCTTCTTCATTTTCGTGGCAAACACACGAGGTGCTCCTCCACATACCCATGGACCCTCATACATATATATTCATTTATATATAGATACGCTTATGTGTAAGTAAGACATTTACTTTCATTGCAGACTGTTGATTGTATGCCTTTTCATACCGAAATATCGATGCCAACGTGCCAGCCTGGGAGATGGCGGCAACAACTTACGGCCATCACGCAATAAATTGGCATTTGGCCTACCAAACGCTTTATGAAGCGTCCTGGCGAATCTCGGATTCTAGCTGGAATCCGGCTAGCCGAGCACCGCCACCTGTCACTTCTGCATGTACATGTCATTTGTTCTTGTGTCTCGTACGTGCAAATACTTTGCAATTCATTGGCACTGCTTTCGCCACGAGATGTCTGAGGCAAATTTGCTTATACGGCTCATTTGACGTGGCTGGCTGGCGTCGATGACTGGATGCGGGACAGCTGCTCCGAGCAGTTAGCATGTCAAGTTGTGGTCCTGGCCCCAATCTGGCCCATCCTTGCCCTGTCCTCTTCCGCTCCCATATGGAATAAAGTTATTTTAGCTTGCTTGGCACATTGCTTGCCTCAATTTTTGTGAACTGCCTTTTCAATTTCAATCATACGTGTGAAATATCATTGGGTTTGTACTTCTCCAACTGTAACTAATCAGCCTTGAAGATTATAGAGCCTATCTAAAATAGACCTTCTACTTATTTATTTAACCCTCTAATCTCTTTTAATTTCTTTGTAAATATTTAAGTACCATTTTTTTCAAATCAAATACACTTTTTAAACAGTAGTTGTTAAGCTTTTGTTTTCAAATTGAAATCAATTAATTTATGCCCTGAAAAAATCCCAAAAATCCTTATCAATTAGTTCTATTGATGCAACTAAACTAAATGCTTTTTGCATATTTCAGTTGCTATTTTATTTTTGTATCAAAATTAAACGCTTAAAGACCTAATCCCTAAATGTTCGGCGCTAGAATTCACTCGCGGATTTATTTGATGACCTGTGTGGGATGTCCTGCCATCCTTGTCTGGGAAATCCAATAGCCGCGGGCGGCACAAGTGTTTTTTAGTGAACAATATCACACACACTGCCACGCACATAGACTGTTGCAACAAAAATATAATGTGGCACGGCCCGGGGGCATGGCACGTATTGGAATTTTCGGGCGGGGCAACAACAAAGCAAAACAACTGGCAAGGACTCTCGGAGGAGAGTCTCTCTGAAAGCAAATACAATAATTTCACAGCTAAAAGGAAAATGTGTGTAAGCCAATTTCTTGGCCAAGTCGTAAATAGGAGCGAGAATAAACTTATAAGCCAGGGAGAGGCGAAAGAACCCATAACGAAATATTGTTTGTGTTTGCATCGATTGTTGTTTCTGTTGTGATTGTCGGCTTGTTCTACACGCCACTCCAAAAATCATATCTGAAGCCGGCCATTGACCATAAATAGTTATTTTTTTTCCCCTTCCATATTTATACATTTTTTTTCTCTGGGCTTCGGCTTGGTATCTTGGGCTCAAGGCGCAAAATGTTTTTCCCATTTCATTGTAATAAACTCGTTGGCGCGTCGAATAAACAAACGAGGAAGCCATGCCACGACAAAACAGTTGCCAGCCAGCGAGATCCAGAGTCCTGGCCGAAAAACAATGGCCGCTTAACTGGCAAAAGGGACTACGTGCCAGAAGTTGCCATCCCGGCTGCCATGTAAACACGGTCATAAACCAAGTAGGCGAAAAAGAATTGTGGAAAAATGAAAAACGGTCTAGTAGTTTAGGGCCAGAGAACAAATACCCTAACCGACGGAAAGATAAAGAGACTTGTGCCTTCTATTAATTGGCAGTATCTCCTGAATGCCATACGGAGAGCATCCCAATTTATTTGCGTGTGGCCATTAGGCCGAGAACAAGAAGCCACAAAATTATTACTTATGCCTTGAATTGATTGAGTGCCACTAAGCAGTTGGCACGGCTTAAAGCAAGCGATGGTTAGCCCGGAAGGGGATGAGGATTTATGTGGAGGAGATTAACAAACGAGGACATGAAGCACTGCCTCTGTCGGCTGGCTTGTCGCTCGAATTGATTGAGTGCTGTCGGCGACCGCAGAAAGATTTTCACGTGGCATTCATTAATAATAATAATGCAAACGCCAGACACTGGGCCCCTCCGTCCGGGCCCCGGACTATCCATCTGTCCGGTGTCCTGTGGCCACATAAACCAATTGTCCGACTGCCAATGGCAAGGAACGGAGCCGAGAGGAGCTGCTCACTGCAGACGGCTGTGTCATTAAACTTTATTTATGCAGTCGGTAAATGGAAAATGCTTGCAGAAACTTATAACAAAGCAAATTTACGCTAGAGAGTGGAAAGGGGAATTACAAAGGGGTCACACTCAATAGAGTATAGCTACACTTGGATTAAAAGCTAGGGTTTAAAATTAAATGACAGGGATATCCAATTTAATTATATATATATTTATAAAGCCTTTGAAACAAATATTTAATCTAAAAGGTAGTTCTCTAAAACCCTTTTCTTAAATCTCATTTTAAAAACCATTTTCCCAAGTGCATCTGTGATAGAGTTTGCATAGATGAGGTTGCGAGAAACGAAAGCGGAAAAATGCTTATTGACTCTTTTCTGCTCCTTTCGATTCCGCATCCTCGTTATCCTCTTTACACGCCCCGTCCCCATAGACTCCATATAGATATATATATTCTTGTATGCATGCTGGTTGTACTCACCATCGTGGGAATCGTAGAGATAAATTATTTTTCGCCATCCATAAAACTGTATTGTATCAATGATGGCCTGATGATAATCCGGGCGCATGCTGAGGGCAAAGTCGAGGAAGCCAGACGATGGTGTAAGCACCTAAAACGCGAAAATTATGGAAAGTAGCAGCAGCAGCGTCCACATTCACATTCACATTCACCGAGCGGTAGAATAAAAGAGAGAAAGGACAAGGGCATGGCGAGTTAGTAAACATGAATCATTATTGAGTGCTCATTGTTGTTGGGATCCTGGTGCTGTTCTCGTTTTGGGCTCGTTTTGGGCATTTGCCTGGTTGATTTATAGGCATACCCGGCCTAAACGAGGCCAAAAGTGTGTTATAAATTTTTAAAGCGCACGCACACGGCCATCCGACACGGGTGGGGCAGGACATCATTAGAAACAAGTGGCTGGCTGGTCGGTCGCCCACTTGGTCCCAGCTCACTAGTATTTATAATGATTTGTACCTGGTCGGGTCATAAATATTTGCCACTTTGTTCAGCTGCTGTTTAGTGGACTTTCACGGCCCAAGGTTTCAAGGTTACCAATTTATTTTGCAAGCCAACAGTGCGTATGATTAATATTTCATATTTAAATAGGCAAACGACCTTGAAGCCTTGGCACTAAACTTTGCTTTAATATTTATTAATGCCTTAATGCGCTTACCTTTTCGGGGAACCAGGGCGTTACGAAGGGCATCTGGAAGGTGTTCGAGTACGAGTGTAGGGTATCAAAGGAGTCCGGCGAGACGGCGCCCAGCATTGAGTATACGCCCCGTGAGAACTGGTTGCAAACTGTGGAGAGTGATTTCGAAATGTTATTTACTATTTTATTTATTTGTTTTCATTATATTTTTTAAAACTGTTTAGTTTATAAATAGTATGCAGCTATTATCTTAATTAAAATCATTCTATTTTAGATGAAACTGATTTATTTTGATGCTTCCATTAGCACTATTAAATTTATGCAATTTTATGCAATTAAGAGCTTTTTTTGTGGAAATGGAGCCAGATTTTGGTTAAGCCAAGAATCTGATAAAAATGCGCATAAATTAATAGATTTTGCTAGATAACGAGATATCCTTGGAAGTACTTGCATTGTTAATGGATCTGACATTATTCAAGAAAGTAAACTGCATCTCATAAATAGTAAGAAAAATTGTAGAAAAATAATAATTGCTATGGAGCGTTGGATTAAATACTCACTCAGTCGGGAGAGCTTGAAGGCATCCGCCGTATTGATAACGTCCACGTAAGCCTGCAGCTCGAAGCGACGGGACGAGACGTTCAGGTTGTGGTTGAGCATCGCGTACTTGAAGGCCGACTGCACCTCGTCGGTGCCCTGCTCGAAAATGGCACCTGTTCCACAGGTCGAGGCAATATGCAAAGATGTGTAAAATTTTCGTTAGTGCTTTCGGTGCTTTCTGGGTAAAAGTTTCGATTTTGTTTCGCATTTTTTTCTTTTTGACTTTTTTGGGACTCCCTGTCGGCTGCTGCTTCGCCGAAATTGTCAATTAAGTTCAAAGCAAAGGCACTTTAAACTTTGTAATTGCTTTTCTGCTCGAATTTTATTTGTGTTGTTGCTCTTGTAATTTTTACACAGTCTTTTTTTTAACTTTGTAGCTTCTGTTATGGTTGTTCTTGTAGTTATTTTTGGCGGGCCATTTGAGCCAATTTTTAAGTGGCGTTTGGCAGCCGGCTAATAAGCGTGGCGTTTCTGTTTTCAAAGTGGCCACTGGCCAATACCGATTCAGGGAATAAAATAAATGAAACTGAAAGCGATCTGAGAGTTCGAATGAAATACCATATTCTTAATATTCTGTGAAATTGTGAAAATAAAATAGTTTCGGGGCTGGATTTCAAGTCATTTGCAGCTGGGGCGTGTGCAGCTGAGCGGTTATAAAATGAAACTAAGTGCCTGGCAAGACCACGACAAAACCAGGATGGCGAAAGCAGGATGGCGGAGCAGCCGAGCAGGTCGAGTCCCTGTCAGATGCATTGGGCTTACGGTTACGGTTACTCACCTAATGGGATTTTCTCGGTTAATGATGGCTGTGCGCTGACTAAAAATCCCCCGCTCCTCCACCTCCAGCTCAAACTCCACGTTAGCCATAATAAAATGCTTGGCCAAAGGCAGCTCAACTTTAAGCCAAAGCGCATTTTGCAGCCCGTTGATATTGCTGCCGGTCTCCTCTTCGTCTAATGTTGTTGGCTCTGCCTTCTTTGTTGTTCTTGCTATTATTGTTATTCGGTTTTCCCGGGGTCCTTTGGCCCCTTTGGTTGTTGCTGCCTTTTTTCCGCTTTTCCGCTTATTTTCTGTTGGAGCTGCTGCTGCTGCTGGTGGAGCCTGTGTCGGGTTCGCTTGTCGTCGCTGGCATTGCGAGCATTTTGCTGCACTTAGCGCAGCATTTGCATAATTTGTGTTGCCTGTATTTCAGTTTTGTTTTTTTATATTTTTTGGGGGTGGAATGTTGAATATATATCAGATGAAGATTTTCAGCAGATTTTGTTAAGTTTATCATGCAAATAATGTTCGTGTAAGTCGCTTAAATTTTCGGCTTTGTCTGCTTAATTAAACGTTTCCTGCTTATTGGGGCGAATTATGTTAGTGTGTATTTTTTAAGCCCAGACCCTGTTCGTGTCCAAAGACCTCCCCCACAAAGCACTTTGGACTGGCACGCGTTGGCCTGCACGTGTCTGGGCCACCTTTTCAAAGGCAGCTCGAATAAAAGCACTGAAAATTTTTATTTTTCCCACTAGAGACTAGTCAAAAGTTGACAATCTTTTGAAATAAAATTTAGATTAAAGCTAAGACCTTATTTAAATTAGTAGCAGAGCCTGTAAATCAGAAATTTTTAAGCTAAAAGGTCTTAAAGCTAAGAACCTCTTGTTAAAACATTAAATTTGAACCAGAAGTATACTGTATTCTTTTTTAATGTATTACTTGTTGATTTTAATCCAAAAACCCTACAAGACCCTTTCAAATATGTCTACAAATTATAGCCATTTTTCCACCGTGTGGTAACAGGTAACTGAAAGCTGGCACCTGGCACAATGGAAGTCGACTTGGCAACTGTCGCGTTCCATTCACTTTCCGCTGAGGCTCGCATTTGTGCGTGTGTGTGTTTTGAGTGAATGCGAGAGTGTATAAGTGCGAGTGCGAGTGTGTGTGCCCACTGAACTGTATGCAAATATGTACACCTGGTCTATATGCAGGCATGTGGTGTGGTGTGGCGGTGCGGTGCGGTGTGTATGTCTACGGCTGCGCTTCCCGGAGCTGTTGTTGTTTTTGGTGCGTTGTCAGTGTGTCACTGTGCCAGCAGCTTGTGTCGTTATTGTTGCTTTTGTCGCGTGTGCAGTTCCACGCCCACTCTACCTGCCACCTGGCCCCTCCCCTTTGTACCGTAGTCACTGTAGCATATCCCCCAGTCGTTATCCTTTCGGTTCGCTGGCTGTTTTTGTGCTGATTTTGCGCTTATTTTAAATGTCCTTTATGCATGTTGTTTTTGTGCGCTCCCTTTGCCAGCCTTATTTTTGTTTACGTTTTTGTTTTATGCTTTTTATTGTTAATTATTTAAAATTGCACAGCTCAGGTTGACTGAATGACTGCCCGCTTGCCAGTCGCCCAATCGCCCAGTCTCCCAGTCTGCCAGTCTGGCTGTCCCCTCGAAAATGTCTCTCTCTACCACATTCCCTCGGAATTTTTTCAATGTCCTTTTTTTTCCAATCGCCCAACGGATGAAACCTTTCGAAGAATCGCGCCACCCACACGCACGCCGATTCAAAGTTTATTTTTGGATTGCCATTTTATTTTTGGGGCCGCATTCCTGCGTTCAACATTTTTGCATTTCCCGCGGGCTTTAAGGACGGTTTAATTTTTGAAATTGTTTTTAAATCGGCTTATTTGAGGTACGCCGCACCCACAGCTGGCCAATCTGTAAGGGGTTCTATCTGATAATTCGCATTTTATATGGAATCGGTTCTTGGAACTCGCCAAAAATAAATATCAAAAATTTGCTAAAAAAAAATGGTATTGGGGGATCACAAAGAAATGGTCAAAAGAGATGCAGGATAAAGGTTTAATTTAATATAATATCTTTTCGTGGAATTTTAAAATTACTTCATAAATTTCATATGAAAATCAAGCTAATAAATCTGTGTCGTTTATGGCTTATATTTTGTGGATTTTTCTGCGTAGGCTGCCTAATAAATATCCTTTTGACAATAAATTGTTTAAATATAAAGCGTTTTTATTAATATTTAGACAGTGCTTTTAGGATATTAGTTTTTAGTAAATCAGAGCATTAAGTTAAAGTTAATAGTCTACTTTTTTAAAGTTAGTTTTTCCAAAGAAACTTTGCTTTAAATTCAATACTAATTAGAACCCTTACAGTGCCTATGCTTATGGTTGATTTTAAGGCCGATTACCAGTCATCTCAAATCAAAGGAGGCAGTAGCTCCCTCCTCCTCCATCCTCCGGGCTTGAATCCCCTTTGAAGTTTGTCCTGCTGCTTAGCCACTCTTTAATCATATCAGTTACAGTAACTAATCCCCCGGGCGGCAAATGGGAACCCTTTCTTTACGACTGGCCCCATTCATTCATTAGGCAAACATTGACCGAGGCAATCTACATAAAACCACTTGAGTGAAAAGTTGCAGTCTGTTCAGTATCTATTTCAGCGAGCCCCATAAAAACCAGAGCCCAGCCAGAGTCCAGTGCCCGGATCTGGATCCGGGTCTGGAGCTGAGGGAGCTTACTCCGTCCGTCATCAGCAAAAAGGCATCGGCGCGAACGGGATTATTTAGCGCATTTAGAAAATAGGTTAACAGACGCTTAATATTCATATAGCCGTGGCCAGGAGCCCAAAGCCCGGAGCTTGGGCCACTCGGCCAGTCGGCCACTTGGAACTTTATTCGTTATAATGACGATGGCGAAACTAACGGAAAAGTGCGAAGGCCCCACAACGGATCCGGCCAGTTTCCATTAAACGAATGATCCCACTTAATTAAATTTAAATTAGAAGCCTAAAGTTGAACGTCACGGACGTTTAAAAGGCTCCAAGTTGCGACCCGTTCCGTTGCCTCCTTTTTCCCCGTTTTCAAGTTGGCTTGTTTATAGAGGCCAAACAAAAAAGCGGCCGAAATATACACTCACACAGGCACTAACCCTGGCAGAGGCACACCCAGATAAGTGAGACGAATGAATGGGCATTTAGAGCAGAGGACCAGGCTCGAAGGCCCGAAGGCGCTGGGAAACTGAGAGAGGCTGAGTTGCATTGTGGATGTCTGTGGAAGCACTTCCGTTAATTAAATAATTATTTTGTAGCCACTTGCTGATTACTTTTTGGCCCTCCACTCTATTCATTCGCAAGTTAACACGTTGCTCAGACTCTTCCCAGATACTGAAAACTGACCTTTGCCAGTGCCCCTGGTAATTTACAGCTTGCCACCAGCTGATAGGCATCTCCAAAGCCTGGCTTACTTTCGTTCTTAAAAAAAAAACCACAACAACAGCACACACACAACAAAAAGTATATAGTATAACAAAAAAAATTTGCCTTTCAAAAGCGAATCCGCGGCAAACAATGTTTTTCTTTCTTTGTTGACGGGGCACGTGCGGCCCTGACTGGAAAACAAAAAGCGATGCCAGGTATTTAGCGGATACGGCGAGATAAAAATGTAACAGGAAAATTATTAGGCCGCAGATAAAATCCATAATATAAGCCAGCTCATTTGCATTTCAATGAGGTGATTAGTATGCCAATGTCATACCGAAATAGCAAAGCATCCACCGAAAAAACCTATCTATATTTTTCCATTAATTGAGGCCCGATTCAGGTACCTGGCTTTATCATATTTGTTCTTTATTTATCCTCTCAGTAATTAGCTTTGCTGGTCCCGGTCTCAATGGTATTTTTGAAGAGTCCCTGGCAATCAGAGACAAGTGCCACGATAATTGATAATTTGAATTGGCAAAAAAAAAAAACACTTTTAGGGCCATGCCAACGAAAGCCAAAGCCAAAGTCACAAATAATGAGCACAAATTCCGCTGTTTATATTAATGCTCGTCAATACCAAAGTCGGGCAGGGCCACTCACAGTGAGTCAGTGAGTCACTTAGTCACTCAGTCAGTCTGTCAATCTGGCAGTATGGCTGTATGGCAGACAAATTTTGGCAACTTACACGAAAGCGGGCCAAACTGCCTGTCGCTTGTCGCTGTTCATTTGCGGCTTACAATTCCTTATGCTCCTTGAGACTTTTTTTTTGTGGTTTTTTGTTTTTTTTTTTGTAAATTGTTGTTGGTCACACACAGCCCACTTAAATTGCGGCTTTTCTTTCTTAACTTTCTTTCTGGGCCCTCTTTTTTGGGGCCGTTTTTTTTTGCCTCGTCGGTTGGCACTTTCTTGAGAATTGGCTCTTAAGCGACTTTTACATTTGCATAAGCTGGCACACAATTTTAAAAATGATTGCCGCTACTTTATTATCACTTAATGCCGAAAGCGACGAAAAACCCGCGGCTCCGACTCCGTCCGGTTTTCCTTTCTGGCCCGAATCCGGTTCTTGGCCCGACTTGGGTTCGTTTGCCTGATTCTTCCGATTTACCGATTTTTCGATTTGCCGATTCCCGTGAACCGCCGCCAGAGAGCCACGGTATCCTTGTCACTATCCGTCCGAAATCGTCCTGTTTGACGCGGGCACGACCGAGTACTGAGTCGTCTCTGGATGCTGGGGCAGGTGAAGTGTCGTATCCTGCCGGGCGACAAAGCTACAAAACCGTATGGCTCTCTCTTCAGAGAAACTTCGGATGCTGTGCTCTCAATGTACTAAAAAAGGGCGGCCATCCAGAGAACGAAAGAGAGCAGAGCGCACACGCACTTGTCTGCAAAGCCGAAATATCCTGAAGAGAGGTCCTTCAGCAGATGTGTGTGTTTCTGGCAGTAGTGTTACTGACCTAGTAACCGTTTTTTTTTTTTCGCCTTCAAGTTTACTCTTTGCCAGGACGAGAACAACAATAACAAGAGTACAACTTGTCGTTCTCTGGTCGGTTGCCCTTTTTATTGCCTGCTCGTGAGTGCAGCACAATCTGCAATTGTTTCTGTTGCTGTTGCTGTTGCTGTTAGCATTTGGTTAGTTGTTGAGCCAAAGCCGAGTGTTAGGCGGAATCCATAACAACGATTCAGGATACGAAATCAATTAAGCCGATTAAAGCAATTTGTCAGCAAGTGCAGTCAATTTGGAAGAGAATTTAGAAATGTTGAAGAAAGACTTTTTTTATTAAGATATATAGAGTTGGAGAGATATGTGAAAGGGTTAATATTTCTATGTTTTAA